TCTTATGTCGCCTACATAACTTCTCTGACCCTAATGGTGCATGGCCATGAATGTCTGGGAGCCATCTGTTGGCATGATTGGCTAGACTGACAGGATGACCAGGTCACAAACCTTAACAGCCAACACAGTGAAACATGTGGACTACCCATTTCTCCTGTCACTGCCATGGCCATCAAGCTGAGGGGTATAGACCCAGGCGGGAAGGGACTCCTTTTCCTGAGCTACATCTCAGGAAATATGATCTTCCTGCTTCTCTATGAATATCCTCCCCTACAGACAGTCCATTCATATCCCTAGGCTCACTGAGATAAGCATTTCTGAGCACAGTATAACAGATCTGATTAAAACTAAAATCAAGGATTTACAGGGCATAGCAGACAGGCCAAATGAACTGTAGTCCAAGATTTCCCAGGCCAGAGCCCTCCCAGGGTTCTGCCCTAGTTTTGGCTTCATTCTACTTTTCTGAAGCTAATAGAAAGAATCATTCAAGAGCTCAAGAGAACTCAGAGCTGGTGAATACAAGCCCAAAGGAAGGGCATATATCCTCAGAGTGTTTTTTTTTTAAATCAGTACTTTAGAACTAGCAGTACACTCCACTCAAAGACAAAAACTGTGAACTGTGTGGTCTAAAAGTGGCTTAAAAGCAGGACTTTGATGCTGGATGACTACTATGGTGTCACTTTGTTTTTACCATGCTCTAATGATAGCCAGTCAAAGCATCAGCAGGCCTGTAGGCTGTGAACTTGTGTTGCCCACAGGATGGCACAATACCCTGCAAACCAACTTACCGGAGATATCAGGAGTGGCCTGTAGGTTTTACAACTCCTAAACTGTGTGCCTCCCACAAAGAACCAGAGGAAGGCTGGGGTTGTGTTTCAGCGGTAGGGAGCTTACCTCGCACATGTGAGGCACTGGGTTTTATCCTCAGCACCACATAAAAATAAACAAACAAAATAAAGATATTGTGTCCATCTACAACTAAAAAAAAAAAAAAAAAAATTTAAAAAAGAACCAGAGAAAGGATCTGATCTTGAAGAACTCAGGCATCATCCCAAGAACCAGGAAGACAATGAGCTTACTTGCCTGCCTGTCTGCCTTCTCTTCCTTTCTCCCTTCCCCTACCCTTTCTCCCTCTCCTCCCCTCCCTTCCTTTCCTCCACTTTCCTGTCCTCTGCCCCTCGCTCCCCAAAAAAAGATTCCAGTTGATGGAAAGCAGAAAGAACAATACTACTATGCTAAGAATGATAATGAAAAAGGTCCCTACAAACAAAGGCAGACCAAGGAGCACATCCTATACAAATTCATTTATGGAAAGATCAAAATCATATGAAAGATCAGAGTCATATGAGAGTCAAGATGTCCATCTCTCTGTTGGAAATAGCGACAATAACCAGGAGAAGCAGGAGGAGAGCTGTGAGCATGCTTGATAATATTTGCTTTCAATCTGTATGCTGGGTGCAGGAGTGGGTTTACTTTGTGATAATTTATCAAGCAGTACACATAGTCATTTGTGTGATTATCTATATACAGTCACATATCAATAAAATGATATTTTTAAATCACTCTCTTTATAGATAGAAAGTAGTTTATACTTCTTGCTTTCTGCTTATACACTGGGACAGAGCCTTGAAAAACAAAACACACTAAAACCAAAAAAACCAAGAGACCCATAAGCCTATTTTTTCACCTTAAATGGTTTTCACATTCAATAAGAGGTTTCTTCAGGAAGAATTTCATTGAATTTCAGGACCTAATCAAGCCTTTTCTGTACTTGGCCAATCTCTGTATGTGCCAAATTCTGCCTGTGGCTCTAAAGAGGGAACACTGAGTAATCTTCAGGCCTCCGGGGTCCAACACAGAGAGCAGAGACCAGGGGAACACAGGAAAAGTTATGGAACTTTCTCCAAGTTACACAATGAGTTGCTGGTGGAGGGCCTTGTGATTCTCAGTCCAATGACTCTGGCTTTTCTACTACATCTCATTCTGCAGGGGCCAATTAATAAATATTCTCCTTTGGGGCACTGAGAAAAATGAGCCCAGAGAACCTCACTGGCCATTCTTTACATGCAAAGTACACAAAGGAGTTTACCCAATTCCCCTCCAACAGGAAATAATTTGTCTGGGAGAGCAAGGAAGAGGAGGAGGAGGAGGAGGAGGAGGAGGAGGAGGAGGAGGAGGAGAGAGTCGAGTGTGCAAGAGGACATTGCAACACAACCCACTGTTTTTGTGGAAACGATGTTCCCCTAATCAAAAGATAGTTGCATAAATGGACTCATTCCGCTTAAGAAAAAGGGGGGGGGATTGTTTAAACTCTATAAATGGGGACCTTGCAACCCTGAGATTAATTTCTTCAAGTTCTTTCTCTACTTTCTTTTTCAGAATGTAGCTAAAAATAAAGGTTTGGAACTTGAAATAATGTAAGCAAGTAATCTCTCTCTCTCTCTCTCTCTCTCACACACACACACACACACACACACACACACACACACAGCTTTTCCCATATATGGCCACATTATTCTTTAGTCTTTGAAAAGGCCAAATGAAGAGATGGCCAACAACCAAAATAATCCTTCAGACATCTGAAAAGGAGGAGAGAGGACTAGAAGGGTTGGTGAATGACAAACGATTGCCAGGCTCAATGGGGATAAATAACACCAAGAGGGATTAGTTGCCATAGTGCCTGAAAAACATGGGCACATGCATTTTGACACGGGCCTCTTCTCTAGAGAGACTGTTTTGCCCTCTGGCCTCAGCACTGAGAAAACTACAACTGCAGTAATTTAACATAAAGGGCTTAAAGAAGGAAACCAGTGCAGGGGCATGACTGAAAATTTAATTAAGGCCCTTCTCAGCACAAAAATCTGTAAAAGAGATGAGGGCACAGCTTGAGGTCAGAAGAGGGGGTGGGGGAAACATGGGAAAGATCTGAATGAGATATGAGAACATAAATAGCAGAGGTCAGCCCTGCAGGTCAGTGGCCTTGTGATAGATGGCTGTTACAGTGTCTGTTGGGTCTTGCTGGAAAGGTTTCTCTACAGAAGGCTCATGTCAAACAAAGGCCACCTTGTGTGAGTCAGGGGGAAACGTCACATTTTCCCAGTGTCTTATGGTTTATAGGCCATGTCAGATGCACCCCTGGACACAAGGTGAAGCATCTGATTAATTGATAGGAAAATGAAGGCTCAGGGATGTTAAGAGACCTAACGACAGGCCTACTGTGGGTGGCATTGTGCAAGAACACTGGAGTAGAGACTGCAAGGTAAGTCCCACAATGTGTGGACTAGAGCTTGCTTTTTTTGGTGGGGGGAGGTACTGGGGATTGAACCCAGGGGTGCTTCACCACTGGGCTGCATCCCCAGTCTTTTTTATTTTACGACAGGATCTATCTCCCTAGAGTTGCTGAGCCTGGCCTTAAAGTTGCAATCCTCTTGCCTCAGCCTCCCAAGTTGCTGGGATGACAGGTGTGTGCCACCATACTTGGCTGGGACCAGGGCTCTTTCTAGTCACAAAACCTTCAAAGAACACTGGTCAGAGTGCCAGGTTTGGGTTTATTTATTTATTTATTGGGGTACTGGGGATGAACTCAGGGGCACTCAACCACTGAACCACATCCGCAGCTCTATTTTGTATTTTATTTAGAGACAGGGTCTCACTGAGCTGCTTAGGGCCTCACTTTTGCTGAAATTGGCTTTGAACTCGCGATCCTCCTGCCTCAGCCTCCTGAGCCACTGGTATTACAGGAGTACATTACCATGCCCAGCCAGGTTTGAGATTGCAGCTCATTCACTAACTCTGTCAGTGACCATGGACAGGTCATTTCTCCTCTTCTGATTCTAACCCTCATTTGGAAAATAATAGAGCTGGCCTTGACAGGAGGTAGGTATTTGAGGGGAAGAGAGAAGCACACATGAACCAAGTGAGTCTCTCCTTGCACATCAAATTGGTGGGCACTGTCACCAGTGCACTGAAAGAAGGCAGATTTCTGCAAGTTACTGCTGAACTACAACATGAACGCCAGGGGAATGATTTCCAAAGGAGAAGATCAGAAAGCCTCTTCATTCCTCCAAGAAAAGGGCCATGGAAACAAATGAAGCAGCAACATCAATGCTAAGTATTCATCCTACAGCTTCATTCTTTTTCCTCCCTAAGGGAATAGGCCTTCCTTATGATGTTTTGGCTTATATTTCTGAAAAGACATCCTTTTTTTGGTGATACTACATACTTCCAGCGGTTTTCCCAGGCTTGCCCATTAAGGCTATCTATTTAGGTAAGTAGTCAATATTAATAACAAACAGGCTTGCCCATAAAGGCTGTCTATTTGGGTAAGTAGTCAATACTAATAATGCCCAAATAGCAGGCATCATTTGCTGAGAGCCCTCAATACACTTTGTTGCTGAGCCCTGTCAATCTACTGTCCCTGGTCTCTTCAGCTACCAGATGAGGCAGGTATATTTTAAAATAGGAGAACTAGGGGCTTGGGTAGTAGCTCAGTGGCAGAACACTTGCCTAGCACATGTAAGGCACTGAGTTCGATCCTCAACACCACATAAAAATCAATCAATAAATAAAATACAGTATTATATCCATCAGTAACTAAAAAAATATATTTAAAAAAAAGAGAGAGAGTGAGAATTAAGACTTCAAGAAGTTTCATGAGTTGGTCAAGGAAGGCCACCTTCATAACTGCAGGACTGGGATTTAAACCACTGGGTGATTCCAAAGCCTGTTCCTTCTTTTCTTACTCTGTGATGAGGACTCTAGTCAGCATGCCAAATGCATCGAAGAGTCTGAGTAATACTGATGCTGCTTTTTCCTGATTTCTTTTCACTGGCATACTGCAGGAGTATATTTGGGGGAGGGTGTTATAAAATTCCCCCACTGACAGCCTAGCTGTGGGATAAGTGGGCTGGGATGGTGGAGTGGTAAAGGGACTCCCATGTGTTCCCCTTGCACCAAAGGGATCAGGTCCAGAATCCTGATTTCATTTCCAGATCACTAACCTGGTGAGGTACAAGCCCAAGAGAGGTTGGAGGCTCATTCATGCGATCATCACTGCTGCTGGCAATGGCGTAGCCCCTGGGGACAGGAAACAATTATAACTGTTCAGTTAACCAGAATTTATGGTGGACACCTAGAGATGATGCAGGAGGGAGGGATGTTCATGTAAGGTTCATGAAAGTAACCAAAGAGCTTGCTGAGCAGCACAAGCTAGCAAAAACCTCTTTTCCCTGGGGAGAGAAGGAAAAGAGAGTAACAAAAAAAAAAGCATGCTTGGTTTGAAGTTGGAAAGACCAGAGCATGTGACCACCATGCAAATTGTTTAACTTCTGTGTGCTTCAGGTCCATTGTCTACAAGGTAGGAATAAGGAGATTGTGATGAATAAATTAGGAGCATGTTAGATAAACTGCCAAGCACAATGCTTTGTAATAAGCTTATAAGCATAAATTCCTTACTCTGAGATAGTCTTATAAAACACCACAGCACATTTTTCTATTGAAATTTGAAAGTGGAAAACGTTCTAACTTTAATTTCACTTTTTTCTTTCTTCCTTTCATTTGTTCTTTCTTTTTTTTAAGAGATGGGCTCTCACTTTCTTGCCCAGTCCGGCCTCAAACTCCTGGTCCCAAAAAATCTTTCTGTCTCAGCCTCCAGAGCAGTTGGGACCATAGGAGCAAAGTACACAAAGTACACCACTGTGTCTGGCTTAACTCTGGAAGATGTTATCCCAAATACTTCCTGCCATAAGGCAGCAATAAACATAAACAGCAGGGATAGCTAAGGCAGATGACAAACACGAGAGGACTAAAAAGCTGCCTACTTCCATTTAACTCCAGGACTTCTATACTAATTACATACGGCAACAAAATGGTACAGAGGCCATCTTTTCAACTGTGCAGACAACCTCTAAGTCACAAAATGAATAGAAAATTCTTTCAAATTTGTGTTGACTTTCTGAGAACTAAATCTTTAATTTTTTGAAAGATAAATCTTAAAAAAAAAAGGTTTTTGCTTCTTTCCTTCTTGTATTGCGTTACTACCTGGTTTAAGGACAAACATCCAGAGGCTGCAGAGTGCCAGATAAGCACCCACTAAACAGGAAGCAGCGGGAGAGGCAGTCCGAGAAGAGAGGACAGCACTGCACAGTGATCAAAATACTCTGGAGCCACACTGGCTGAACCAAATCCTGGCTGAGCCACCTATTAGATATCCAAATTTTAGCCACTTGGTTATCCTCCCTGTGCCTCAGTTTCCCCATCAAAAATAGGACAAATAATCATTGTTCTTTCCTAGTTGGTTTACTACGAGGATTAAATGGGTTCATATTTGTCAAGTGCTTAGAACAGTGCCTAGCAGAAAACGAGCACCAAATCATTATTTGAAAAATAAATCAATCATAATGCATTTGTAATGGAGTCAGGTATGGATACCCGCTTGACATCAGTCTGGCTTATCTCTGACTCTGACAGCACAATCACAGGCAGGTACTGAGAGATCTTAAATTTCTATATTTCTTTTTGCTTCCTTTCCTTTTCTCTCCTCTTCATTAATTCTGTTTTTTTAAATGACTGACTCTGTTTTTAAAATTAATTTTTGTCTCATTGTGTTTAAGGCAAAACGAATTCTGTTGTTTGTAAGCAAGACCTTTTCCTTGCTTGGAGAAGATAAGGTGTCTAGCCCACAATTGTGTGAATTTTTTTACGTGGAATATAACATACATACAATGTGTTCAACGTATAGATACTAAAAGGCCCAAGGCCAAGTTAAACAAAAGCCACAAGCTCACTCACTTCTTTCTTCTCTCATATAAGCCTGGAACACTATGAGTCATAATAAATTTAAAAGTATTTTTAAACTGATGTGACACTAGTGAACTAAGAGGTCATGGCCAACCCTCCCATAGAGAATAAAAGGAAAGCAGATGCTGTGGTTTGGATGTGGCTTGTCCCTGTCAAAAGTTAGGTTGAAGTGATTGCCACTGTCATGGTATCCAGGTGGTGGAGCCTTTAAGAGGTTATTAGACCATAGGGCTCCACCCTCACTAGAAGCTGGGGTAGGCTCTCTCAAAAATGGGTTAGGTCTGGCAGGAGGAAGTTTGGTTTTACAGGACTAGATTAGATACCACAAGAGCAGGTTATACAGCAAGGTCACTGCCTTGCTTTCTTTCTCAAACACATGCTCTTCTGTATGTGCCACTTTCCTCCCTCTTCTCTGCCATGCTGTGATGTAGCACAAGATGCTCATCAAAAGTCAAAAGGATGCCCACACCATACTCTTGTCTTCCAGGACTAGGAGCCAAAACAACTCTGTCCTTTTTAACTTACCCAGCCTTGGTATTTTGTTATAGTAACAAAAAACAGATCAAGACAGTAGACAAAATATAAAAATCTTTGTTTGAAAGAATCAGAAAGATACCAAGGTAGGGAAGAATTAGTACAAAGATTTGTGAGAAGAGAGAAGACCATAAAAGTAAAACAGGCTTCTTAGAGAGGGATTCCCATAAAGTAACTCTCAACCTCCAAAAGCAATGACCATAGGATTACAAGTTGAATGTGACACCAATAGGCTCATGAGGCTGGAGGGGAAAACTAGACTCTGAGTTTTGCCAATAAGGAAAAATCATGGAAAATATCTCAGACATAAAGTTGGGATCACTGGGGCCTATCTCAGAGAAAAGGTGAACCAGAAAAAGACCATTCCTAAATGGATTAAGGTATTCTAAGATGGCTAGTGAACTTACCAGCAGTTTTCCAGAAGAAAATGTAAATCACATCTCTACAATTTTTATATGTCATGTCCAATCAAAAATAACCAAACGGGGGCTAGAGGTATAGCTCAGGGGTAGAACATATGCTTAGCAAGCACAAGGCCCTAGATATAATCCCCTGCAACATCCTCCAAATATTCAAGGAATTAGAGAAATTTCTTTTCTCTTTTTAAGAAAAGGTCTTACTCAGTGGCCCAGGCTGTTCCCAAACTCTTGAGTTCAAGCTTCAGCTTCTCAAGTAGCTGGGGCTATAAGCAGGTACCACTGCATCCAGCTTGAGAAGTCTCAATATTAATTGGGCAAGTGAATACATCAAGGAATTCTTTGTTTTTACAACTAAAAACAGTAGAGATGCATACTAGAAAGATTCACTTTATAAAATGCTGTTATCTTGGATTTGCTTTTAAAAAAAAGTCAGTAGGAAGAAGAAAAAAACACAGATAGCAGTGTAGATAAATGATGGCTGAACATGTGTTGGTAGATGTTAAACCAGGTGGAGTAAACAGAAGGTTTAGTATATATGTTTGAATTTTCCATAATAACAACTTTTATCATTGTTGTTTTTAGAAATGGGTATATAAGAAGACAACACATGACCAAAAGGTAGGTAGGAAAAACAACAGACAGCAGGAACAGAACCTTAGGAGATACAAACAATGGAGATATCTGCTAAAGGCTTAAAACAGGATTAAATGTTCTCAAGGAATCAAAAAGAACAAACATCAGATCTTCAGCAAAGACTAGGAAATATACAAAACAAGATCAAATGGTAGGCTGCAATTGTGGCTCAGTGGTAGAGTGCTTACCTAGCATGTGTGAGGCCCTGGATTCCATCCTCAGCACCACATATAAATAAATAAATAAATAAAATAAAGGTATAAAAAAACCCACTAAAGTCAAATGGCAATTCTGGCCCTGAAACATCTGATAATGATGTTGGTTTTACACACAGGAGACATAAAGATGAGAGAATCATAACTGGAAGACAACCAAAGGCAAAGAGCTAGACTGAAGCAAAGAAAGACAAATGATTGAAAATACAGAAGAGACCATGAAAGACACATGATTCCAACTGGTATGTTACTGGAGTCTCAAGAGAAACAAGGCAAAAGAGAATGGGAGAAGTAATTTTTCTAATATAATGGCTGAGAATTTTCCACAATAGATGAAAGGCATTAAGCCACAGGTTCATGAGGCACTAGAAAGCTCAGTCAGAAAAAATACAGAAGATGGTGTATGATGATCACACTTCTGAAAGGCAAAGGCAATAAGATCATCTTGAAGCAACTCAGGGAAGGCAAAAGGAAGCAAAGCAAATTGCTCAAAACAGCAGCAATGGGAAAAATCCTTAACTTCTCAACAGAGATAAAGGCAACCAAATACAATCCAATTATACTCTCAAAGTGCTGAAAGAAAATGAGTGCCAATGTAGAATTCTATAGAACACAAGAAACCCTCTTTCAAACATGAAGACAGTTTCAGACAAACAAAACCTGAAATATATTTGTCACTAGTATTTCTTTTTTCTTTTCTTTTTGGTACTGGGAATTAAATCCAGGATATGCTATACCACTGAACCACATCCCCATCTCTTCTTAGTTTTTGAGAGAGGTCTCACTAAGTTGCCTTGCTAAGTTGCCTTGCTAAGTTGATAAGTCTGGCCTTGAACTTGGGATCCTCCTGACTCAGCCTTCTGAGACACTTGGATTACAGCCATGCTCCACCATGTCTGTCACTGGTATTTCTCAAAAAAAAAACAAACAAAAAAAAACCCTAAAGGGAATTGTTCTTCAGGCAGATGAAAAAATGCCCTACTCTGAGAGTTTGAAGATAAAGAAATGAAAAGCAACGAAAATGGGAATAAAAAAATTCTATAAAACTAAACACCAACTATATAACCAAATATATAAACACCAAATATATAACAATATATTTGGGAACTTAAAATATGTAACATTTCAAAAAAAAAAATGTGAAGATACACAGGTTGTCTGTTCAACCTCCATTCTTCTCACAATAATTTTATACAGAGGGGCAATATGCCCAGCCAACAAAACAAAAGAAAACAAAACTACATTCATCAGTATTCCCTGCAACTAGGAGTTAGAATTAATAGGTTAATCTTTCAGGAAAGCTCTTTAAAAGGGGGCACACTCAGATGACCACAACATTCATCCTTTGGTCGCTTCCTTCTTCTAAATGGGCACACAGATGTAATACTGATCGCACAATATCCATCCCATAACCACAAACTGCCATGCACGAGAAAGAAAGCTAAGAGTGGCTGAGTGAATGATAAGAAGTAACTTCAGTCTCTGATGGCATAATGGAATCTTTGTACTAACCCTGGACTGCTCACCTCTGAACTTCTTGTTGCATAAGAAAGATAAAGCTCATTTGGTAAAGTTTCTGAACATGAATCTTTGTTATATACAGTTGAATACAATTTCTAACATTGGTGATTCATGTACCACCTTACAAAGGTTCAAGGATGGAAAAAATAAAAACTTACTAGCACACTAGTGTCCGAGAGTCCCTACCAAAACTTGTATTCTTTCTTATTAATAGTTGCCAAATAACTCAAGAGATATAGCCTCAAAGATCATATGGCAAGTTCTCCCTGTCCAAAGAATTGGACCAGGCTGGTTTTTTTTTTTTATTTGTTTGTTTGTTTGTTTATTAGTCTTGTGTTTTTGAGGACAGAAAAAATAATAAAATTCTCAGAAAAGTCAGATTAAGAATAGGTCAAGCAAGATCAAGTGCCAACAAATGCTTGCTTTGTTTAAACACCATTTCTAAATAGCAAACTCACCCTTCTGGATGCTGCAAAACAGACACCATCAATTCTACTGCCAGGGCTCCTGCAATCATGGCCAGTCCTGGACGACTCACTGTGCACTGTTGGTCCAAGGTCCGGTCTCTGGTTGACTGCAGAGAAACAATCATTGACACGTGCTGGAAGTTCTAGTCCACTCAACTCTGTTTGAGCAAGGCGCTCCTCCACGATAAAGCTTTAAAATACAACCAGATGCTCATTGTTGGCAGAGAACACCCAGCTTCAAATAACAACATTTCTGGGAGGATCAAGTTACACAAAATACACAATTCAGTTAATTCAATGAGGTAATAATTCTGAAAAGGATTAGCAGCCTCAACAATTAAAGATTGGTGATGGCAAGCAAAATGAGGGCTCTGCTGCCTCATACTGTGGATTTGCACCATGCACTCTCCTTCCACTGACTCAATTCAAATCTCTTGGGCTTGGTAGTTACATTGTGGAGACACAGAAAGGAAGAGTAATTTGGACAGGCAAGTGTCCTACCATTCTAACCAAGCAAATGCTTCTGAGTGACCCAGAGATGGAAACAGGAGTTTGCTAACTTGCAAGTCTCAGTTCCTACATGCCCCTTGAAATGTACACACCTCCTCACCCTTAATGTGGTTCCAGGACTTACCTACAAGCATCTTTGCTATAGCCTAACTCCAAACATAAGCCTTCATTGATTCTAATCAATGAAGAATTCTAATCTAAAAACTCTGGGCTAATTCAGGGGTGGTCAAGAAATTTTTGACTCTGAAAATCTTACTTTCTGAATGGACATGACTTTGGTGGAAGGGACCATGCATTCTTCTTGTTGGCAATAACTAAATGACAGGACCAGCCACATGTTCTCATACCATGATGGAGATCATTGAACCATCTTCCTCACATAAGAGAAAGCTCATCTTTTCTTTATACTAGGTGGTCATAAAAGCCAGTCACACACACACAAAAAAAGATATGCATTATTAAAGAACAAGTTTTAAAAGAAGGAGAAAATGTGTGTGTATAGAGGGTGGGTAGATACAGAAAGCATCTCTGCTTTGCTTCACTGGAAATTATGAGCTCTTCTGATGAAAGACCACTCCTGCAGACCAATTCCAGTGGTGTCAATCAAGCTAGAGAATCTCACATTTGCACAGTGTGGTCTGGCAGTTCATAGCACTTCCACACTTGACCCACTTTCTGCTGTGAGGTGACACAGCCAGCATTTTTCCTTTTTCTGCTAGCTTGCCAGATAAAATACGAGATGTGCAGTTAAATTTGAATTTTATACAAACAAACAATTTTTAGTATTAGTAGGCCTCAAATATTGCACTGGGCGTAATTATACTAAAATATTATTGACTGTGTACATGAAATTTAACATCTACTTGGAATCCTGCACTGTCACTTGTTAAAAAATGACAAATCGGGGCTAGGATGGTGGCTCAATGGTAGAGTGCTTGCCTAGCATGTGTGAGGCAATGGGTTCAATTCTTAGCACCACATTTAAATAAATAAAATAAAGAACCACTGACAACTAAAAAATATTTTTAAAAAAGCAATCTTTAATTTGAACAAAAAAAAAAAAGATGACAAGTTGGTCTGGGGTTTTGGCTCAGAGATAGAGCACTCACCTAGCATGTGTGAGGCACAGGGTTTGATTCTCAGGACCATGTAAAAAAACAAATAAATAAAATAAAGGTATTGTGTCCATCTACAACTTAAAAAAAAAAAAAATGACAAGTCTATGCCCCACTGCCATTCTGCAGCGGCACAGGGAGTCTAGGAGGCTTATTTGGAATCACCTGTGAGACTGTGTCAAGGTCTGGATTGGCATCTGGATCTTTAGACTTGCTATGTTTAATGTTTATTTTACTAAGATAAGTACAGGAGAAAGTACTGCATGCTGTCAGGAACCAGGCTGGGCTACACTTTCCTCACTGAGCTCATCCCCCTCCAAATTATCTGTGGCTGCATTTTTCTTGGTGAATGAGGAAGAGCTGGACAGTTGATGATTCCAATTGAGGCTCATCCTGGAACAATGCCATCCCCCCCAAATAGGAGAATTCTCTTTGTGGAAAGACAGTTTATAAATAACAATAAAAGAGCTTTGTTTCTCTGCCCTACTACACAACATGGTCTTCGGAAATCTTTGGAAACACCAAGAAATTTACTTACATCTCCTGGGGCCACCACATCATTGCAGAAATAACAGCCAAGTTTGTAACCCGGGATGTTGGCAAAAAGTGATGAGCCCAGGAGGTCAGCAGATGCCACTGAGTGACTGGGACACAGGTCCCCGGCTCCCTGCTGCTTTGGTTTCTTCAGGCCATGTCTCATGACAACAAATGTGTCAAATCCCAAGGCAGCATTGATGACCAGCTGTAGATATCAAGGAATAAGAGAATTAATGGAAACATTTTTTAAACCAGGGCTAATTTCATATTTAGTTAAATTTTATAATTGTTTTTTTTTGCATAGGAGTATAAGTGGACTCTGACAACCAATGATGTTACAAGCTTCCCAATACTGAGGGTTTATTAAGCATAAGGCACTTAAAGAGTGATTATCTTTAATTATTTAATTTCATTTAAAACTCCCTACAAACATTGTCCAATTTTAGATGAGGATAATGGAAGTCAGAGAGTTTAGTTCTATTACTGGCCCAAAGTCACATAGCTTATAGGCAGAAATGTAAAACCAAGTTCTTAGGCCCATTCTTTGTACCATTATATCACATAGATTTTTTCTTTTTCTTTTTTTTTTGGTCCTGGGAATTGAACATAGGATTGCTTTACCACTGAACTACATCCTGAATCCTTTTATTTTTTTATTTTGAGAGTTCCGCTAAGTTGCTGAGGGTCTCACTAAGTTGTTGAGGCTATCCTCAAACTTGTGATTCTCCTGCCTCTATCTCCCAAATCGCTGGGATTACAGATGTATGCCGCCACACTTGGCTCCATGTAGATTTTTTTTATAACAGTTTCATGGAGATATAATTCACATTATCATATAATTCATTTACCACATAGATTTTTAAGGACATCTTTTTTTCATTTATACTATAAGAACTTTTCTTAATTATAATTTGATGTGCTCTCTCAAATTTCTGATCATATAAAAAGTATGAAAAATACTTTCTTTTAGTATGAACAAATCATACTAAAAGAAAAAAAAATCACTCAACATACACAGTTCAAACAAGTAAGAGTTTGAAACATTTCTTCTTGCTATCTCCTCTCCCTTTTACTTCCTCCCCAACTTTCCCCTTTCTCTTTCCCCTATTTCTTTTCTCTCTTGATAGATGGATGAATGGATGGATAGACATATAGAAATGTTTATATGTATATGTTTATATCTAAACATAACTGATACTAAAATATATATAATATTGTATCTTATTTAACACAGCATGATATTTTCCATATTAGAATTCTTTGAAACATAAATGTGAATGGCTGCACGCTATTCCACCATGGGTATTGGATTGTGATTTAGTTCACTATTCTCTACTGATGGCCTTTAAAATTGTCACTGACCAAATATTAGTGAAAGTTCCTGCCCTCTTGAAGCTCGAATTTGAACCCAGATGTATCATTCCTGCTGGTGTTGAGTACCTCAAAGGACCTTGAGGGAAGGTAAACTGTAAACACTAACTATTATCTTGGGTGATGAAGTGAGCAAAAACAGCATCTGTAGTGAAAGCCTTTTGGCACTGGGCTCTAGGGTTACACATGTCACCCCTCTTTGCTGGGGGGAGGAAAGGTTGGGGTGGTGGTGCATTAAGTCACAGGGACAAGCACCCCTGGTTCCACACACTACCTTTCTCTTGCTTGCAGCAATGACTGCAGGAAGCCACCGGCTTTCCCTGGTGTCCATCAACAGGAAGATAACATCATGGCTTTCAATGAGCTGCTCCAGCTGCTCTACATCCTTGCGGGCTTGCTCCAGGGTGATGTTGGAGAAGTTCACTGGATGACCCGGCATGGGGATGCTCATGTTGAACCCTCTGGCATTCTAGGAAAACACTCGAATGTATTTATGTCTGAGGCAAAGGTACGGGTGAGTTCTCAAGACCATATTTCCCCACAGCTACCAGCACATATATGTGGTCACTTAAACTAGAAATTTCTGTGTACCGTAATTCTGCTTTTTCTTTACCCTACCTATGCCTTCCACCTCTTTCACCACTTAAAAATCAAGACAAGCTGCAAATCTTCCTTGAACCTTTTCTGGTACGGGGGATTGAACCAAGGCCTCACATATGCTAAGCAAGTGCTCTACCACTGAGCTACAGCCCGAGCCCTCTTGCCTTATTTTAACAGTGAACCACACGTGAACACTGATGAAGCCAGGGACATTAACTTCTCATAGAAAAGAAAGTGTTCTAGAGTCACCATCTGTACCCTTAATCCCCCTCATTCCTCTGGCCACAGGGAAGTGTGTGAAAACATCAACTTTTCTGTTCATTTGCAAAAACTCTTCACCCTGAAAAAAACAGTTCAGGGGCAAAGCAAGTAGGTCTTTTTACAAAGGAAAATCTATTTTATAGATTGAAGATATTTATTCCTTGTCTTCAACTTGAAGCCTAATCTCTGGAATTAAAGAGAGGGGCAGCAATGATTCCAAAAAGATAGGGGGTAGGGAGTTCCAAGTAAAGCAGGAAAGGATTCTAGGAAGCAAGAGCTTCAGAAAAAGATTCCCAAACAAGTCCATTTAAAAAAAGAGATTGCCATAAAGACCAAGACCTCATTATGAACATGAGATATCACGCATTTACCTTGTACCAATTACTATAATAAAATATTATGAAAGCAACACCTACAGTGCTAATAACAATAATAACTTAATGGCATATTACAACTGACAAAGCATGTTAAATGGTGGGAGTGTGATCCAAAAAGCTATTGCGTAGGTTTAATGACACCAAGATTGGCACATAATTACACAATACCCATTCTGACCTTCTGAATAACTGATCCTTAGCCATATAAACTTCACTAATTGAAATAAACTTTTACTGGCTGAAATTTCAGCTAGTAAGCTGACAAAGCAGCCCATTCCTTAGGTCCATACTCCAGAGGTTCAACAAACTTAATTCAGCAAGTTTCAATACAGTGGTTTTCCATCTTTGCTGCACATAATAACTTAGGGTTCTAAAAACCCCCAATCACAGGCTTTTCTCCAGACTGTTAAAATTGGAATCTTTGAGAGTAGATGTAGACATCATTATTTTCTAAAACTCCCCAGATGATTCAAAAGTATAACAAGGGTGAGGTATAATTTATATAAAGTGAAATACCCATATTTCACAAGGACAGTTCAACATATTTTGACAAATTGAAGAGTAATCACTGCATACACCTGTCAGGACGTGGAACACTTCGATAACCCTGGAATGCTCTCCTGTGCCCCTCCTTATCCAATATCAACTACCAACATTATGACTAAACAAAGACAGCTGAGTTTTGCCTATTCTAGAATCTGAAATAAATGATATCCTAAAAATATACTCACTTATGTTTGGCTTTGTCCATGCAACATAATGAAGCGTTAAGTATCAATATTACATTCCTTTTTGTTGTATAACTGTACCATATTTTTTCATTCATTCTCTACTTGCTGGCTTGGTTATTTCCTGATTTGGGCTATTATGAATAAAGCTGCAAAGGGCATTTCTGTATAAGTATTTCAGTGCACGTATGTTCTTTCTCTTACGTAAATTATCGAAAAGTGAAACTGTAATTGTTAGGTGTGCATGTTGAATTTCTTGTGGCTGTTTTACCAGAAAGTATAGAGTGTCTGGTTGCTCCACAGCCTGACATTTAACACTGTCAAGTCTTCTTAATTTTAATCATTTTAGTGGTTTATAATGATACAGCTTTTCTTTTGTGTGTGTGTGTGTGTGTGTGCCCGAGCATTCACACAGGTGTTGGGGATTGAAACCAGGACCTCATGTTCATCACTGAGCTACATCCCTAACCTCTACAATAATATGTCTTCATGATCCTATTTTATATTTCCCTGGTGACTATTGATACTGAGCATTTTCATGTGTTCACTGGCCATTCATAGATCTTCACTGTGAAGTAAGTACCTCTCCAAGCCTTTTGTCCCTTTAAAAAAAAAAGGCTGGTTTGAATTTTATCATAGAGTGGTAATTGTTCATGTATTCTAGGTAGAAGTTGTTTGCCAAATATGTACTCTCAGTTTGGCTAGTTATTTCATTCTCTAATTGGGGTCTGTTGAAAAACAGAAGTTTAAATTTTGACAAAACCCAAGTTAACAATTTTTTTTTTTTTCATTTATAGCCTGCTTTACTGGGTTCTAAGAAATATTTGACTATCACAAGACCACTGAGCTTTTCTCTAGAAGCTTCACAGTTTTAGCTTTAGTTCTATGTTCCTTCTGGGTTGTCACCTGCAGGCTCAGAATATTCAATGAGGTCTTTGTACTCTTATAATTGGGGTCCTGTGACTTTTGGCCCTGTGTGACCTCTGTAATCTCTACTAGTTCACAGCCCCCTGGTGATGTTTCCTTCTCAGCATCTCAGAGGGGTACCTAAGTTTATGCAGCTTAAAAAAAAAAGGCTCAAGGTGCTGCTGAAGAAGGTGAGGCAGTTTTCTGGACCTTCTTCTCTGTACTTGTATCTGCCACTGCTTCACCAGCTCAGCAAGAACAGAATTATCTTCTTGGGTACCTCAGGCTTGGCACTGAACAGAAAGTACCACTAGACAATGAACTGGGACAAATGTTCTTGATTTCCTTCTGTGGGGACCCACGATCTTCCACAGCCTATTGTCTAAAAAGAGTCATTCGCTGTTCACATACTTTGCCCAGGAGCACATTATTTAAGGTGAGAAAGCAAGTCATTATCAGGATGAGAAGCAGTTATCCAGAGCTGGGTTTTCAAACCTCAAGTGTGGGGCTGAGGGTGTATCTCAGTAGTAGTAGCCTAGCATGTGTAAGACCCTGTTTTTTACCTCCCACCCAAAAAACAAAACAAAACCAAAAAAAACCCTTTGGTCTGCTCCTAAAGCCTACATTTTATTGTTTCACCTTTAAAAAATGGTGACATCAAATAATAATTTGATTTATAAAAGATTGTTTTCTTATCCAATTAACCTCAGGATTAGGCACAAGCATCTGCAGTAGAGCAGTTCTTTTAATGTAATTTTATATAGCATTTTAAAGACCCCCTGAAAAGTTCAATGAGACACCTACATCAGAGAGTCAAAGAAAAGGGATTACTTGGCCAGGCATGGTGGTGCATGCCTATAAACCCAGTGGCTTGGGAGGCTGAGACAGGAGGATCGCAAATTCAAAGCCAGCCTGAGTAACAGAGAGGTGCTAAGCAACTCAGTGACCCTGTCTCTAAATAAAATACAAAATAGGGCTGGATGTGGCTTAATGGTTGAGTGCTCCTGAGTTCAATCCCCAGTACTAAAAAAAAAAAAGAGAGAGAGAGAGAGATTACTCAAGGAATCACACGCAGAAAAAAAAATAAAGAGGCTCTTAAGATCTGGCCTTTGAGTTACTTGAGGGTCTGGGGTCAGAAAATGGTTAGTTTGGGCCAAAGATATTTTAGCGCAAAAAGTAAAAGTCAGACTTTCTAGTTCTAGGGGAGAATATATTCAAGGTTCTCCAAGTTAGCCATCCACTGACATCACCCTGTCACCCAAGGGTGGCTGGGGGATGGGTGCTTACAACCTCCTAGGACAGTATCACTGCACCTTCCTGTGAGTGTATTATGTCAAAATTAAAATTAAAAAAGACCTATCACCCACTACTTTTTTTTTCCAAGTCAAATGTTACTAGGCTTCAAGTTCCAAGATTAGAATTTTGCAATAATTGAACAAGTGAGGCAATCCTGCATTAATAGAACCAGGATTTCTACCATTTCCAGGTGATTAGATTGCCTGAGAAGTCTGCATTTCATACATCTGCTAACTTCAAAAGTCTACTTCTCTTGCCTGGAATGCCCTTCTAGACCTCTGGCCTCTCCCACCACTTTCTGCTTCTCGCCTGCCTCTCTCAAACTGTTCTTTTAATTAATTCCTTCAGAGGTCAGGACACATGGCACTGCCTGAAGAAAGCATTCTCTAGCCTAGCAAACCTGTACAGGGCCCACTCTTTTGTATTTCATTAACTCAGATTAACTACTTATCCTCCTTAATACTTACTATTTTCATTATAATTTTAAAAATTAATTATTCAGCATATATGTGATCAACTAGAATATAAGCTCTATGAAGACAGGGCCAAGCTTTGGTCAGGGAGGCCTGGTCTTTTCTCCATGGCTTGGTGTAAGAAAGGTGATTGATAAAGATATATTGGATGAAAAAAGCTACTTTAAATCAAGCATATGAAGAAAATCTTTATGGTTAACTAATAAGTTATACAGTTTCATAAGAATTTTTCACGAAGTTGATAAATTATACAAATACTCAGATGAGTTATTATTTATAAGGCACCAAATAAAAGTTTTGGAAGCTTGGACCCTGGCCTCACCTTAATGCAACAGGGAAAACAGGATAACATAATGTAAGTGCTAAGAAAGAAGCTTGGTTGCTCGGTGTGCTGATTTTCCCAAGAAAAGTTGGACTTGATCTCTAAGGCCCAGCATAATCTGGCATTTGCTTCTGCCTCAGCCTCCCTTTATCTTCTTTGACATCTAAGCTTCAGCCACCCCGGCTTTCTTTCGGTCCTCAAAAGCATCACACTCTTTCCTGCCTTAGATTTTTTCACAGACAGCTCTGCTACTTTAATTTAGCCTACTCCCACTCACCCTTCAGGATCTGATTCCCTGATTCCACCCTCAGCCCCTAATCTAGCTCAGGCCAACCTGCCACACACGCTCCTGGCAACTGAGCTCTTGAATCATACATACACTTATGACAATTATAACTATCTGTGGGGCTGGGATTGTGACTCAGTGGTAGAGTGCTCATTTAGCATATGTGAGGCACTAGGTTTGATCCTTAGCACTACATGAAAATAAATAAAATAAAGGTATTGTGTCCATCTGCAACTAAAAAATATTGTACATATTTGTGAAATTATTTATTAATGACCATTCCCCTCCCCACCACTAAACTATCATAAACTCCCTGTGGGGCTGAGGGGGTGGGGTGAGAAATGTCCATCATTTCTCTTATCCCTGCACAAGGTAAGCCTTAAATAAACACCTAATGAATGAGTAACAGAATAACTAAACAAATAAACAGGGAATTGCATGGGCTCATAGACAATGGCTAGAATTTAGGTAAGCAAAACTCAGGCAACTTACAAGTGGCAGAACTCAGATTCGAAGCCAAGTCTCCATGGTCCCTGAGGGGAGTACCTAATACCTCCCCAGTGATAGACTGGATCATTCTTCCCAACTACACCCTTACTCCCCCTAGTAGAATTTCATGTCCAAGCCCTTTGCCACATGACTTTCAGGACCTCCCATGGAGAAGGCAGAGTCTACTGACTAACCCATTGACTGGGCTTGACCCTGAGCCTTGCTTAGGCACTGGAAAGGAAAGGCCCTGCACTGTGCCATGCAGCTGAGCCTATAGGAGGTATGATGGCTGCAAATTCTTTTAGGCTTCTATTTCTACTATAAGAACAGCAGGACTGAGGTGACTGTGGCTCTTTAGCCTCTACTGTTTTAACTAGTGCATTATGATCACATGTAACAGTGGGATTTGTTGTGGTATATTTGTACATGCATGTAACATAATTTGATCAATTTCATTCCCAGTTCCTCCCTTTTTTCTCCCCTTCTACCTCCTCCTATCTTGCTTCTTCAATTCTACTGATATCCTTTCTGTTTTCATGAGGTCCCTTCTTAAATTTTTTTTCTTTCTAGCTTCTAAGTATAAGAGAAAACATATGATTCTTGACTTTCTGAATCTGTTAGCCTCCATTTTGAAATAATGCCACACACTTCAGACCAGAAGCTGACTAAAAGTCCTGAATTCAACCTAGTCTAGCAACAGAACCATAAACAACCTGCACAATCATAAGTAGGAAATAAATGTTGTTAAATGAGATGTTAGGATTGTGTGATATGTAATACTGTGACAGCAGAGACCTACCTACTATCCCTCCTCAAGGACAGGGTTGTGACTTATTTTATTTATTTCGGCATCTAGCACATGGCTGGGTACACAGTGGGTACTCAATCAATACTGTTGAATTAAACCCAATAAATGATTCCTCAGGGATACTGGTGAAATGAACAAAACAATCAACATGACTTCTAGAGCAAAGACTTCTGAAACAGATGAATCAATACTGAGCAATTAAATGGAGAAACTTTGGAAAGACAGGTTTTTTTGTTTTGTTTTTGTTTTTTTGGTGAGGGCTGGGAGCCTTTCTGGCATCTTAAGTAAAAGTAGATGCTTGGAAGACACCTAATCTGACTCCTGTCAGATAAACTGATTAAGCATTAAGATGTATAATCTTGGGGCTGGGGTTATGGCTCAGCGGTACAGCACTCGCCTTACGCGTACAAGGCCTTGGGATTGATTCTCAGCACCACATAAAAAAAAATAAATAAAATAAAGTTATTGTGTACAACTACAAAAAAAGAATAAATATTAAAAAAAGATGTAGAATCTTAGCTAGATGACCTCAAAAAAAGAAAAAAAAAAAGCTCAAGATTGTGAATCAAATGAGGTGAATGACATCTCTCATTATCTAATGTTTCTAAAGCCAATGATGTAGCTCAAAAATAAGCAGCAGCTAGAAAAAAGAAAATCCAACTTTTTACCCAATTTTTGTCCTCCACAGACTTGCATTCAATTTAATTTCATAAACCTATACTTAGTGACTATCAAAGAAGGTCTGGTGATAGGAAAAAAACAATATGCTACATCGGGACCACCATAAATTCCCTTTAGAACTGCACAGGATATAAAAATATACATACTTCTAAATTACTCAAATTAAATTTACACAATGCTTTACAACTTACAAAACATTCATTCATATACTTTTCATTTCATTTTCACCAGAATATATGAGAGGTCTTTGTTTTGTTCTGTTTTGTAATATAGGAGATTGAACTTGGGGCTTCACATATACTTGGCAAGTGCTTTACCACTGAGCTACATGCCCAGGCCCCTTTATTTTTTATTCTGAGACAGGGTTTTGTAAGTTGCTTAGAGCCTCACTAAATTGCTGAGGCTATCCTCGAACATGCAATCCTCCCGCTTCAGCCTCCAGAGTCACTGGGCTTATAGGCATGCATCACTATGCCCAGTCTTGCTGTATTTTTTAATCTCTAGCTCAAAGATGAGGTAACAGTCTTGGTCACATGATGAGTGCCTGTCAGGGAGTGACATGTGTCTGTTTCTCTGTAACTGATACCATAGGTATTCATTCCCCAAGATTTTTAAACATTTATAGATGGAAGGAAAAAACCTGTGATGGTCTCAAAAAAGCATCAACGTACCACTCCGGGGAATATTTTCTGGAGCCGGTCAGCTGCAGCTAAAGCCTTTGGTTTACCTCCACCTAGGCAATCTTCGAATTCATAGAGAGGCTGCCTCACAGGATTGGAATAGGAGATCTTGGCATTGTCCACGAATGTGACATGTCTGACGCCCCAACCCTGCATGGAAACAGGAGATCATAGTGTCTTCCTATGAATATTTCACATGGTGTCTCTCTTAAAATCCCTAGGAGGGGTTTTGCTTTCAAGCAGCTTGGGAATCTCAAAATACAGGAAACTTCAGAAACTGAATTGTACAAATTCAGTTTTTGATAAACAGAATGTCAACTTTCTTTAAAAGACAAAATAATTACATGCTAAGTACCAGGTTTCCTGCTGTAATGAAACCAAGAAATGTCAGAATGGGGCTAACTAATATTTCATAATTTTTGACAGTGGCACCAGAAAAAAAACATTTGAAAGTGAAAAACAGTGAATCCCATAAGAACTATGTTGCTATTTTAAAAGGATTAGCAAGAGCCCCAAATGTCCTTGGTTTCCTTAAGAATAATTAAGTATAGATAATAACTCCTCTCAAAATTTATTTAAGGCCTGAGTTAACTCCAGAAAAATGATTTACAAGTCATTTCCCACTGTATAATAATGTAGAACATTTCATCCTATTTCACCAAGATGGACAAGCCTTATTCATAACTGGGCATTTAGGGGATGATTTTATATTCTCATAAATAATTTTAATGATATCATAGACTCTAAATGCATCTCCATAAAGTTTTATAAAACTATACTTTAAAATTTTTCTTAAAACTGAGGATTGAACCCAGGGGCACTTTGCCACTAAGTCACATTCCCCAGCCATTTTTATTTTTTATCTTGAGACAGGGTCTATCTAAGTTGCTTAGGACCTTGCTAAGTTGCTGAGGCAGGCTTTGAACTTGTGATCCTCCTGTCTCAGATTCCTGGGTTGCTGAGATTACAGGTGTGCACCACCATGCCTGGCCAAAATTACACAAGTTTAAAGTTGGAGAGGATCTCTAAAATCCTTGGTATAATCAGTCTGTTTTACAGATATAAAAACTGAAATGTAAAGAAGCATAGAAAAGATGTTAGTTGTCTAAACTCATATATCTAGTTAATGATGGGAATCAATGAGATCTCCAGAGTTGCTCCCAAATGAAGATGCTTACTTTCTGGGGGTGAGATAGGTATATTTCAGATCATATATAAGTCATCCCTCTGTATCCAAGGGTTCTGAATCTAGGCTCAACTTACTGTGGATGGGGGAAAAATTGCTTCTGTACTGAAAATGTACACATTTTGTTCTTGTTATTATTCCAAAAATTACAGTATAACAACTATTTATATAATCTTTACACTGCATTAGGTATTCTAAGTAATCTAGAGATGATTTAAGGTATATGAAAGGTTATATGTAGGTTCTATGCAAATACTAGGTCATTTTAATATAAGAGACTGGAGCATCCTCAGATTTTGATATTCGAGGTCATCCTGAAACCAATTACCCTTGGACATTGATGGATGACTGTACTGCAATCTAAGAAGCCTTTTCAACTCAGGACTCTGAACTCAGTTAGACTGACTGTTTCAGGGAGACAGTCATTGAAGACCCAAGACTCACTCCAGGGTTGTGAATGACAGGCTAAAATCCCTTTTTTGTAAGCTTAGTATGGGCTGTTTGTTTTGATGCCCACTGGTAACTCTTTGATATACACACCCAGATTCATTAGCTAAACAATCTACTATGGAGGGAAAGATAAGTAAGAAAAATCCAAAAGTCATTTGTACTTGGTTTGGGATATTTATTTCAGAAGTATTTTTGCATTCCTGAGTGGACAGCAGGGAAGATGGTCTGAGAACATGCTAGGCAGTGTTTTGAAAGCCAGATAAGCTGCAAACATGCTGTAAACTAGTCATATGCAGATGAATTTTCACACTTAACTTCTGACTTCCTGGAATGCCACATAGTTTACAGGGCTAATCCACGAAGATTAAAGAAAATTACAACCCTCAGTGTCAGTGAGGATGTGGCAGTGAAAAAAAAATATTATTGATTGAGAATGTTAAACTGGTGTAATTTTCTGGAAAGTAATTTGGCAATGTGTTTCTAGGATCTTAAAAATATTCTTTGACCTATTTCCAGCAATCTATCCTAGGAAATAATCTGAAATACTGCCAAAAGATGCAACTACAAAGATATTCTTCGTAACATAATTTATAACTGTAGAAACCTAGACACACCATTAGTGCCAAATATGAGAGGACTGTCTTAGGAAATTAGAGATGTGATTAAATGTTTTGTCAGATAAGGAAGTTTATTCTACAATCATTACAAAAGACTAAGAAGTATCATTTTTAATGACAGAGGAAATGTTTACAATGCTAATTCATAAAAGCAAAGGAAATTATTATGTATCAAATTAGACTTGGAAATACATATTAAACAAACCTGAAAGGAAATGAGTAAAAGTGGAAAATGAATACTTTCTTTTCCTGCTTCATAACCTTGACACTTTATAAATTTTCATAATTAATCTGTCCTGACTGCAATTTCAAAAAATATTAAGAAAACATAGGCACCTAATAGTCCAAAAACTAACAAAAATACAATAAAATAAATTCCATGAAGAAATTAGCAGAATTAATGTATCCAAAAGCAAAACAAAACATAAAAATTATAGAACTGATACATCAATTATTCAGCTCCCAAAAATAACTAAAATAGATATGTCTCTCTTATAAGTCTGAATAAGAGTAGAAAAAAGAGAAAACAAACTTTGGGAATGTGGGAAGATTAAAGATAGAAAAGATTTAAAAGATAATAAACAACCACATGTACTTGTTATCAATTAATTTTTAAAGTTAGATTAAATGAATAATTTTCTAGGAAAATAAATGGACTTAAAAGTGATATTGAGGGCTGGGATTATGGCTCAGCAGTAGAGCTCTCGCCTAGCATGGGCGAGGCCCTGGATTCAATCTTCAGCACCACATAAAAATGAAAAAATAAATTAAAAATATATAAAAAAGTGATATTGAATCTTTTTTCCCCACATACTTATGGGTGCATTATATTGTACAGTTTTGTTGTAAAAGTGGTATAAAACCTAAAAATGTCAATCAACACAGATAGGTGTGTAAAAGTTCCCAAAACTCCCTGCCCCAAGCCCACCAATAAAATTACCAAGGATTAACACACCCAGATGGATTCATAAGTGAATTTTTTTAAATCATCAAGGAATAGATGATTCATGTATTATTAAAATTCTTCTGAGGCATAGAAAAGGGCAGCAAATTTCAAGTTTACTTTTAAAAGTTAGCTATAAACATACAAAGACACCTCATGGAAAAACATTACTAGAGAATAACTTGATTTATGAATACAGAAGTAAAACTTATAAATAAAACATTATTGATTAAATGATAATGTACAAGAAGAATGCACAAGTAGGGTTTAATCTTAAAACTGCTCAACACTTAGAATAACTTGACTATCTAGATAGACATATTCAATAAAGCTCAACATTCATTTCTGATATAAACTAGCAGAAATAGAAATCACCTTCCTTAACTTACAAAAAAAGTTTAAGAGAAACTAATATCAAATATCCAAATTAAAGGTAAAAGCATTCACATTAAAGTTGGTAACAAAACAAAAATGTCAACCCTTCCTCCTATTCCCCAACATTACTATGAAGTCCTAGACATTTGTACAAGATAGAAAAAGAAACACAGATATAAATGTTGGTAAGGGATACTTACTAAACTATTAAAATTAAAAGATTCAAATAAAAAACTACTAGAACTAACACAGCTTAGAAAGATGGCCAGATGAAAATAAACACGCAAAACTCACTATCTTGCCTATATCCTAGTAATAGCAGACTGGAAAATATAATGGGTGAGAAATCTCTCTAAAAGAAAAAAAATATGGGGCTGTGGCTGTGGCTCAGTGGTAGCACACTTGCCTGACATGTGTGGGGCACTGGGTTCGATCCTCAGCACCACATATAAATAAATAAAATAAAGGTCTATCAACAACTAAAAAGAAAAAAAATATTGTCAAATATGCAGAAGTAAAATAAATAAAGCAAATGCAAGGCCTTTATTTAAAAATGCTACTGAAAGACAAGGATGATCTAAATAAATTAAGAGCTACCCTTGCAATGGAACTAAAGGTAAATACTGTAACAATGTCAACCTCTTCCAAATTCCTATAAATTCACTGTCATTTCAATTAAAAAGCTGAGTAGCAATATAGTTTTACTGGGTAAAACAGAGAATCCAAAAAGGAACGTAGATATAAAAAGGGGATTTTGCATTTCGTAGAGGGAGAAAAATTAAGATTTCGCTTATTAAGTAAATGCCACTAAACAACTGATTATTCATTTTGTAGAAAAGAAGTTGGGACTTTACCTCTCATCATACACACACACACACACACACACACATAAAATTTCATGTCACTAAAGACTTAACCACAAAAACAAGGTTCCGTAAAAGACTATAAATTTAATAACATAAAATTTAAAAAAAGAAAACTTCATATAGATAAAGATACCTTGTCAATAAAGAAATACAAGGGCTGGGATTGTAACTCAGTGGTTGAGTGCTTGCCTCACATGCGTGAGGCATTGGGTTAGGTTATCAGTACCACATAAAAAAATAAATAAATAAAGCAAAGATATTGTGTCCATCTATAACTAAAAAAATTTTCAAAAAATTTTAAAGAGGGTTGGGGATGTGGCTCAAGCAATAGCGCGCTCGCCTGGCATGCGTGCGGCCCAGGTTCGATCCTCAGCACCACATACAAAGATGTTGTGTCTGCCGAAAACTAAAAAATAAATATTAAAAAATTCTCTCTCTCTCTCTCTCTAAAAAAAAAAAAAAAAATTTAAAGAAATACAACCCAAAGGACAAGGATGAAAAAAAAAGTTCTCAAAATAAATAAAGGCCTATACTCCCTAATTAATAAAATGTAAATTAAAATAATAAAATGTTACCTTTTAACTGCCTGGGATGAAAAAGACAAAAAGTTGATACTATCTAGTTTTGACAAGAGTATAGAAAAAAGCTATCTCTCATGGGTTCACAAGAGTACAGACTAGTATGATGTTATTGGAAGGTAATTTAGTTTGTGTGTGTGTGTGTGTATAAATAAATTGAGAGAGAGAGAGAGAGAGAGAGGTGTGAGAGTACATTCTAATGTAAAAATAATTCTACTTCTAAGCCAGGCACAAAAGTGCCCACCTATAATTCCAACAATTTGAGAGGTTGAGGCAAGAGGATCTCAAGTTCAAGGCCAGCCTCAGCACCTTAACAAAACCCTCAGTAACTTAACAAGACCCTGTCTCCAAATAGGAATAAAAAGGGCTGCTGAGGTTGTGGCTCAGTGGCAGAGCACTTGCCTAGCACGTGTGAGTTCAAAATTCAGCACCACATAAAAATAAATAAATAAATAAAATAAAGGTATTGTGTCCAACTGCAACAATAAATAAGTAAGTAAGTAAGTAAGTAAAAATAAAAAGGGCTGGAACGTAGCTCAGTGCCCCTGGATTCAATCCTTAGTACCAACCAACCAACCAAAAAAACCCCTACTTTTAGGACTTTTTCCTAACGAAAAGACACCATGGATATACAAGCAAAAGAACGTATTTTCCAACAGACTCTCTAATGGAAAAGAATGGAAAATAACCTGAAATCAATTATATGAATTAAAGACACAGTCATACAACAAAACACCACTTTTTATGGTATGAAAACATAGAAAGGTAGTCACAATAATTTATTATTTTTCTATTAAGTTAAAAATAAAAACTTTGTATAGATAGTATGCTATGATCCATTTGTTGAAAATATAAATAAATAGCTAAATAATGGCGAAGATGACAAAGGACTCTCTATATTTATATATGCCCAAGAAGTCTTTTAATTCTGGGAAATGGAACTGGGGATGGGGGTGGTGGGAGACATTCTGTTTCTATCTTATAATAAAGATATATATTCTTTTTATAATTACAAAGATGCTGAGAAAAGAAAAAGGGAGAGGAGGGTAAAGTGGGTGAGGGAAGGCAATCAGAGACCACAAAATAAAGGAGAAGCCACAACTTCAAAGGCCCCATTCAGCCCCTGAAACTCACCATCAATGTCCTGGCTACATTACAACCCAAGGTACCGGCTCCAAGCAGCAGACATTTGACAGATACAACCTTCTCCAGGTCCAGAGTAGGAACCAACCTCCAACACATCAATTTAAGATTTAGATCCACAGAAGACTCAGCTAACCTAGAAAATCAGAGATTTAGGTTTTTAGTCATTTAATTTATCTGTGCCCCAATCTTGTCCTCAGAGATATAAAGTCACTGTGCTTCTTTGTGCAGACAGTTCACAGACCAAATGTAAATAAGCAGGAAAGGGGAAGCAAAGAAAAAATAAGATGTAGCTTGAGGATAAAAGTGTTCCATATGGATACATATTATTGAAGTTCTCTGCCATTGTTAGCTGTGGGCCACAAATTTGGTAGTGAGCTCCTAACAGCCAAGGTGAAAATAGAAATACAACCAACTACAAGTCAGGTCCATGAAAATATGCACACCAACAACCTCAGAGAAATGTTCTTCCTGGTATTAAAGACAGAAATTTCTTCTATTTCTCCTTAACAATGAGTACACTTACATTCCCCCTTAAATATTCCATAAAATATGGTTTTTATGTCTTTCAATGGAGGCCAATAGGACAAAAGTAAAAAGCAATGAATAAAGATAGTAGTATCATTGTGGTAATTCTCATAACCAAGCTTAAATTAAGCAGTAGGTTTCAAAGAGCAGAACAACACTCAGTAGTATGCACAGCATACCCTGGACTGAATTATGCAATGCAGTATCAACCTAACATAACCTGTTCTGCATGCTGGTTATGAAAACCCCAGTGGCAAAAAGAACATCCAAAACATGTATACCTTTTGGGATCCATACATTCACTAAGGTTCACCATCCTTGGTCCCATGCCTCCTTTCTGGTTCTTTTCCCATCCGACTGCTTTAGGACAATCTTCAGGCAAACAAAACACAAGTTTAACAAAGGAAGGAAGAATAAAAATAAGTCAAGCAGCAAACATGTTTTTTTAAAAAGATCAACATTTACAATGGTCCATGCATTGATAAACTTTTAGTTCACTTCTTTCTCAGAGAGCTCCGAGAGCCTGCAATTTCCATCTACTTGCTCCAGTTACCTCTCCCACTTTCCTGAGCTATTAGGGTTCTTCTTTAGAGACCATTAGACCCAAGTACAGTGTTCCTGGGCAGGGGCTTGTGAAACAGTCCTCAACCTGGCCCAAGGAGCCTCTACTTCTTTTGTTCCTAAAAATTGCTCAAAAAACACAATCATATTTGGTAGGTATAATTCTGTGGAAGACACTCTACTTAAACAGGGCAACCTGATTAGCTCAGCATACATTCCACTGAAGTTCCCATGGAGATTCGGACCTCTAAGTCAGTATGTCCCTTCTGTTCCCCAACCTTATCCTGTCCCACTGCTCAGCCTCTCAACTTTCACTGTGCCTCTTTGTGCAGACAAATCACAGACCCAGGTGACTGTTCCTCTTTCAAGCTGCCCTCTCCTGCTACAGGGGTCCCTGTAACTCCAATTGCAGTGGTTCCCAAAGTATGCCTTATTCACTGTTAAACAGAGTTGGGAAATACTTCCATATTAACATCTATACACAATATCCAGTTCCCTAATACCAGCTAAACTTGGAGATTCACAATTGCACATGAGGGAGATAATTTTGCTCAGAGAGGCCTAAAATAAAAAGACCACTTTAACTTGATGTTTTGTTTTTCAATCATGTACAGCATTTTGAATCTCTTTTCATTATCCCTTACACACCAAATAAAATCTCATGGATGTAGCTCAGTAGTGGAGCACTTCCTTTGCATGTGCAAGGCTCTGGGTTCCATCCCCAGCACCACTACAAAACAAAAGAAAAAAAAATCCCATGATACAACACATTCAGGGAAGTGCTGCTTGATTCTATTGTTGCAAAAGTCTCTTACATTTTCTTATGTTAGATTTCTATCAGCACTTCCATTTTCCTTTCCTTGGGAAACCCTTTAGCCCTTGTTTTTTTTTTTTTTTTAATAGTATTGCTCAATATAATTATGAGATCAGGAAGATGTTGATTCCTTTGACATATCTTTTGTTTCTGAGCTAGTATGAGCAAGGGGAAGCCAGGGCCGATTATCCTTGAAAACTACTTGGGCACCAATCAGCCTGGGGTGTCATTCACAGCAAGAAGCCACAAAACACATGTGACTTCAAATTTTTAACTCAGATACTCTGATGGAGTCCTTTTATTTTTAATGCTATGAAAAACTAAAGCTAAAATAATATATTCAAATTCTTAAGGAGATGAAGATATCAGGATTCTTTTCTAGGGAAAAATAGTTCTGATCTTCTAATTCATATTTTACTATGAATTAGTTAACTAATCTTACATTAAATATTCTCATGTTAAATTTTTAAAAATGCTTCTCTAATGCATAGCACAAGAATCTGACAAGGTCTACAGAACCACACTGTAGTACTGTAACTGATATCAGCCTTGTTTTTCTCTTTACTGATAAGACATTGTAAGACAAAAAAACAAATATCTCTTCAAGTTAAACCATCTGCACACTCAAAAGGCTATAGCCATTTCTAATTTAAACTGATTAACAATGAAAAAAGTTATATAAACCCACCCTGCCCTTGTACGCGGGGCAGGGGGTGCTACAGAAGAAATCCATCAGGAAAGATGGGCAGACTGCTCAAAGTCACTGAGGGGTCCCCTCACTTCTTCCATATTCCACTGAAGAGAACACTCTCTCCCATAGATTTAGGGGCACACTCTGTGTTCCCAAGGTCATGCATGGACCCGCAGGCTGCTCTGAGGTTCAGCTGACCATTAATGACCTCCTGCTAGTGGCACTAGGCCGGAAAAGGCAAAGTGAGGCAAGTATGCAGGTACAAGCCTTTAGTGTTCACCAAACACAGGCCAAAGCCTGCCCCAAAATGGGTAGCAGTGCTCAGGCAGGGGCCCAAAGAGGCACGGCTGCCTGCCACTCCAAGGTTTTGTGGCACTGAAAACTCCCACCCCCTAGTCTAACAAAAGCCCAATGCCTAAACATTTTGATGCATTTCAGTCCCTAGCTGATCTGCCCATTCCTGTCTCTGGGATGCATATTCTTTTCTCTTGCCTTTTCCTCACCTTGCAATAAACCTGCTCTAATTACCATCTCTGCCTTGCTATATACTCCTGTTTCATGACAAGATAATTGCCCTGATCTTAGGCATTATACCCAAGAACCATGGATCAATCCACTGTGGACTCTCACACACTTGTAACCTACCCATAAGACACACCCCAAGGCTGAGGGTGTAACTCGGTGATAGAACACTCTAGGTTCCATCCCCACCACTGAAAAAAGACACACCCCAAATTAATGAGATAATGTCTTTACGGGAAATGAGATGTTCTTCTCCCACAATTAGAATCAGGAAGAGCACAAGAAAGGCAGGAGCTAACAAGTGGGGCTCTCATCCCACCTTAGCAGTGCCTGCTCCCTTCTTCAGCCAGTTGCCAGAACACTGTATTAGCTATGGAGAGCACAGGCTGCATCATGGGGGTGCAAAAAGAGATTCAGGATATTTAAAATAATATTTCTTTTACCACTACAACTATAGTATATCTTGGAAATACGATCATGTGTCACCTAACAGTGGGAGCATGATCTGAGAAAAGGTCATCAGCTGATTTCATCATTGTGTGAATATCAGAGTGTACTTACCAAACGAAGACTAGGACTTTGTCTTGCTGTATACCCTGCAATATAATCTTATGGGACTACCATAGTCTGCTGTTGACAAAAACGTCACTATATGGCACATGACTATACTAACGAGTACTACTATGAATACATGGAATTTACATTATGCTATAGAATAAGATTTTTTTTTTTTTGGTTTTGCTTATTATAAAGTTTTCCCTTTTTTGTTGTGGTACTGGTATATTATGAAGTTTCATTTGTAGCTAAGAAGAAAATCATTAATTTACATGAAAAACAGAAGAAAAACTGCCTTTCCTAAACTAAATAATCTACTTTCAATTCTGAGCAGAAGGAAGGTGTATTGAAGGTGTTACTGGATAAGAAACTTTTTTCATATGAAAGTGTGCAACAGTTCCTGAGTTTGAAAGTCAGCAGCACCAAGAATTAGCCATAACAGAAAAAGGGCAGTTCAGAATAACTCAGTGACTTAAAATGGAAAGTGCCTCACCACAGAATGGGGGTCAGCACTACCTGAGGGGCATGTAGGAGGCGCCTAGTGACCTGCCAGGGACAGAGACCAGCCACATTTACATCTCAGTTAACTCTCACCTCAGTCTCTCTAAACTATCTTTAAGTTGTGGTTTAATAAAACAAACACAGGGAAGCTATTTTAGAATATGCCAGAAGAGGGTGCTAAATCCAATGCAAATCTCTAAAGACTGCAGAAAGGCTGCAGATTTCTTAAGGCTCTAGACTAAAAAGCAAAACAGCTTTCTCCTTTAACTGACCATGGAGAGAACTCTGTCCATATTTCCACATTTCTATTTAAGACATCAGTGCCAGAGCACAGAATCACTGATAAAATGTCATCAGAGCCAATCCTGAGTCCTTTTGACTTTTGCATTCTAGAAAAGATGTCTCAGAAAAGATGAGGTATCTTTAACATTCCCCCAATATACGCACACAAGTTAAGGCACACTTATGGATTCAAGAAAGAAATGTGCCTTGGAACCTTGGGGAGGGTATTAAGAAGTTAATTAAATGACATGTGAATGTGTTCTGCAAAGTATATAAGTGACATAGACATGAGGGATTACTCTAAAAAGAGGTATACACAGTGCTGGTATGAATAGTGAGATAGGAAATTAATATAATATTGATTAAGCATAATTCACACAATATTGATTAACATATAGTGTATGCCAGTCATTGTGCTGGTTTTTTCACAGGGCATAGATGCCTCATAATAAATATACCCTAAGGTAGGCATTATTACTCCTTTTTTTAACATTTATTTTTTAGAAGTAGTTGGACACAATATCTTTATTTTGTTTATTTATTTTTAGTGGTGCTGAGGATCGAACCCAGGGCCTTGCACATTCTAGACGAATGCTCTACCGAATGCTCTACTGATGAGCCACAATCCCAGCCCCGCATTATTATTCTTATTTTACTCAAATTTGAGAATGAATTCTACTTCTATGACATATAAAATATATAAATACAAATGTGCATATTTATATACATTTATATATACACACGTTTTTCTATATAAAATGTGTCAATGTCGATTTCCTAATTTAAAAACAAGGATAATAGCTAACGTCTGTCACACAGGATCAAATAAAGACATTAAGTGTGGAAGGATAAACGGCACTTCTGCTGACTGGTTTACTCTGTGGAGAATAGGATCACACACAACATTACGAATATAACAAATAAATATGTAAGTGTACCAATACTTCATCCTTCCTCTAAGAAGGGACAGGAATAAAGATTTGGGGATAAGCAAAAATAAAAATGAATGCCAGGGGGGGGAAAATCCTAAAGATTGAAAAACTATCTGGAGAAAACGTCCTGGTGCCAATCTCTGCCTTTGTTTTGGGCTGAATAGCAGAGTGTGCCCTCTTCCAAGAAGGTGTGCACCCCAGGGGTGAGGTAATAGTTGTACATTTCTCTCCCTTCTACTCCCATTGTGAAGGGATGAAAAGAAAGTGAACCAGTTTCAGTTTCTGATAAATGATAATTAGATGCATTCTCAAAGACCAGCAAATTACCTGGGCTAAATGCCATTTCTGGAAGCTTCACTTCAAAGATGATGCTGTGGGCAATGTCTCTCGCCCCCTGCATGGTGCGGTCACGGAAGCAAAGGACTTCAACAGACTGGAAACTGCTACTCCTGTTGTCATGTCCGGATTTTCATTTATTTTATTTTATTATTATTTTTTGGTTAAGGAAGGAAAAGAAAGAGACCACATAAGAATTTCAGCAAACCAGCTGCAGGCAATTTAATGTACTATAATTATTCCTCTCTGACACCCTTAGGGGTATGGCCTTAACTTTCCAAGAGACTTGAACATAATTCATATAGGCATCTTTTGTCCAAGTGTTTGGAGGCAGAATGTTGAATTGGCTGTGATTTCTTTCTGAGTGAATTTTATATGGCAATCACAATGCGGAGAAATAATTTGGACAAATGAAGCTTTTAAATGCAGGAGTAAAGTGCTCCCGAGACATTGGGGGGGGGGGGGAAGCACCCGTAAGGCATGGCTTCTTTAGCTCCCCTCCATCCCGATTTGAACCCCACTTCATGAAACAGTTAAGTGTATTCAGTTAGTTATGTAGTAAGGAAGCCCATAACTAACTGAATACACTTAACCTCTGAATAAGTAGACAGATAACCAGTCTCCTTCTGGGGACAGTCTATAATTTATCTATCTTTGCACTTATTTTTATTTTACTTTTTTGGTACTGGGGATTGAACTCAGGAGCACTCAATGACTGAGCCACATCCCCAGACCTTTTTTTGTATTTAATTTAGAGACAGGGTTTCACTGAGTTGCTTAGGGCCTTACTAAGTTGCTGAGGCTGGCTTTGAACTTTCAATCCCCCTGCTTCCCCAGCCTCTGGGATTACAGGCATGTGCCACCATGCCTGGCCTATTCTTATATTTTTAAGTAAACACTTTTACTTAGGTAAAGTAGACACAAAGAAAAGTGCACAAATCCTAAGTGTGAAAAGCCTGCCTCATGCTTCATCTCAGTTGTCAGCCACCCCATCCAAAATAATTACCTCTCCACCTTCTAAGTCCTCCCCTTGGTTGTGCATATTCTGAACTTTACACAAACGGAATCATACACCATGTGTTCTTTCAGATTCAGCTTATTTCATCCAGCAGTGTGCTTTGTAAATCCATCCATGTTGATGTGTACATAAGCAGTTCAGGCAGATTCAATGCAGCAGAGCACCCCATTGTGAGGAAGACACTACAATTTATTATCCATTTCACTGTTGAAGGACATTGGGTTTATTCCCAGTTTGGGGTTATTAGAAATAATGCTGCCATAAACATTCTTGTATGTGTTTTGCTTTATCTATGTCTGCATTTCTGTGCAGAACATACTGACGGTGCAATTGCTGAGCCATAGATATTTTTAACTTTGGTAGATTCTACCATTTTTTGCAGCAGCTTTTGAAACTGCCCTATACTTTCAAATCCACTTGGTACAGTCACTTTTGTTAAGTCATTTTGGTGGGTTATGTGGAAGTCTCTCATTACGGTTTTCATGTTTTTTGATTTTATATTTTTGGAACTGGGGATTAAACCCAAGGGCACTTTACCATTGAGCCATATCCCCAGCCCTTTTAGTTGCTTATTTTGAGACAGGGTCTCTCTGTGTTGCTTAGGGCCTCACTACATTGCTGAGGCTGACCTCAAACTTGTGATCACCCTGCCTCAGCCTCCTGAGTCATTGGGAATACAGGCAAGTACCACTATGCCCAGTTTAATGTTATTTTCTTAATGATTAATGAAGTTGAGCATCTGTTCAAATATAGACTGGCCTTTAAGATACCCTTTTTAAAAATTATTATAGTAATAGGAAAAAAAAAGAAGTATGATCACAACAGGAAAATCCTACTCGAAAGCAACCTACTTGACAGCTAAAAGGGAGGGCTAGAAAATTTCAGTATCAGGAACTCAGACTATCTGCCCTACCATGGCCTAAAATATCTTTAGTATGAACTGAGGCTGCAGCTCCCTAGCAGACCCACTTAAGAGCTTCCCGATGACAGAAACTGGATCATACCTGATTTATTGATATACTTTCCAGTTTCCATGCCAGTAATTTTAAAAAAATTGCTTTTGGGGAAAAAGAGATACAGACATAGCCAGATACATTGTCAAAATATATAGACAAAGACATGTAGACACACAGACACATGCACAAACAAACACACACACACACACACACACACACACACACTTGTAAATACCATCTGTGTGCTGCTAGGACCAAAAAATTCCTCAAAGGCCATCCAGGGTACTGGGCTAGGTTACAGGGATCATATACACCAACTGTTATCTGTGAACAGAAAAGACTTTCTGAGTGAGTCAAGTTTCAAGTCACTTTTATAATACAGACACAGTATTCTGTCCTACTTTTTAAAGGCTGTTCTTAAAAGCACTGAAAATTAAATACTTGATGGATGGGTACAGAAAAAGAGAAACTAAAGGATTTCACACTTGAACACAGAACTTCTTGATGGCAGGAACTGTCACATTCTTCTCTGTATCCTTATACCTGGCAGTAGACATAGAAGAGAGCAAGAACTAGGTACATTAGGAAGGAAGGAAGGAAGGAAAGAAGGAAGGCAGGCAGACTGGAAGGAAGATGGGAGGGAGGGAGGGGGGTCAACTGTCAAGAGCTTATACAAAGAAAATTCTCTTTTCAAAAAAATCAGCCTCTGGGCTGGGGATATATAGCTCAGTTGGTAGAGTGACTGCCTCGGATGCACAAGGCCCTGGGTTCAATACTCAGCACCACACACACACAAAAAAAATCAGTCTGTGAAAATGGCTCATTAGTATGTCATTAGAAAAATCAAAAAAAGGGCTACTACCATTGTAAATCTGTAGTCAGTTCAAATCAAAATGCCAGATGTCCTGATACTGTGAACATACATGTCCTCCCACGTCTTCCCTCTTTCCCTCCCCTGACCTAAGTCTTTATCTGGAAAACTCTATTCAACTCCAAATACCATTTCTTCAGTGAGGACTTCCCTTAGTAGGAGTCATTCTGTCCCTTCGGCTTCCACCAATCTTTGTACCTCATATATATAATATGTTTCACTTTCTCCATGTCCTTCCTCCCAAAGACAGTGAGCACCTAGCACTCAGATCTTGATTTTTAAATACCATTCTCCAATAAAAGGAATCAGGGTCTCCTTGGGAGGAGCATGACTACTTCTAGGGTTGGACAGGGAAAATACAAGATGAGCCTGGAGCATCTTGTAGTGCCAGAAAACTAAGGAAGTGCTAAAAAAAACCCCCAAAAAACAGAAAGATGGCGCAAATCAGGACATAGGCACCAGCTCAAAGAGCTCTAGCTGGCCAAGACTGTTTCCCAATCTGGGAAACAAAATAATAATGATGTGGTATTGGATTATAACACACCCACACTGATATAAATAATGGAAAGAAGGTCAAGGAGCAACATCCTTGAAGACTTCCAAATAATATATTTAGATATTATCCTCTTTGGTCAGGTGGATGGATGGAAGTGACTCACTTCCAAAGAAAACATGGTGACTTTACAATGGAGAAACATGGCAAATTATTACCTTAACCAAGTAATCAATTTAATGTTACCAAGGATGTCATGTGGTGATCAAGTATCCCCTAACGGGATATGATAACAAGGATATCTCACTTCAATGCTGTTCCTTCTTCTAAAATCCCATCACAATGGTATAATCATAAAAGAATACAGACAGACCCAAAGGAAGTGACATTCTACAAAAATAGCTAACCACTCTTACTCAAAACTGTCAAGGTCATTAAATGCAAAGTCAGACAGACGATTATAGACCAGAGGAGACTAAGAAGACGTGACCACAAAATGCAATGTGGTATCCTGGAACAAAAAGAGGATGTTATTAAAAATACTGGTGGAATCTGAATAAAGTACAGAGTTGAGTTAATAGTACTGTGCTAGTGTTGTCTTTTCAGTTTTGGTAAATATACCATGGTAATGGAAGGTAACAACCTTAAGAAAAACCAAAACTGGGTGAAGGCATATTATGAGAACTTTCTGTGCTGTGTTTGCTACTACTTTCTATAATCTATAATAATTCCAAAAAAGTCTTAATATTTTTTTAATAGTAGATGAACATAATACCTTTATTTTATTCATCTATTTTTATGTGGTGCTGAGGATTGAACCAAGTGCCTCACATGTGCTAGGCAAGCGCTCTATCAGTGAGCCACAACTCCAGTCCAAAAGCTTAACTTTAAGAGAGAAAAGAGAAAAGAGGACAGTGAGAGTCTACAGAACAGAGGGTATCTTTTTCATCTTCCATGACCAGGTGATAGACATACAACAGGCACTTGGTAAATGTTTGCTGGGTGAAAAAAAGATGGATGGATGGATGGATATAATCAGGTGGGTGCATAGTTAGAAGGAGAGTGGGAATAAAATCATGGCTGATAAGTTTTTATTTATGAGCTATTCCACTTAGTACTCTATAAGGATGGAATCATCCCAGATACTTCCATTTATTTCCTGAAATAATCAGGATAGTGTCAGCCACAAAGGAGAAGCTAATGCAGTATTCATACTAGGAAAAAAAAAAAAAAAGAAAGAATGAATACCCACAACCCCACTATATTAACACTGACTAAGAGAACCACTATTAACATTTTGTTGTACAACCAACCACAGCATTAATGTTGTTCTTGAACCATTGTTAGTAGTGATGAAATGGCGTTCCCTTGTATTGATGAACCAAACTTTTTCGTATTTCCTACTGGATGGATGGAAGTGACTCAAAAGTCTGCATCTGTACTCAGTAAGTCTTGGAAAAGGGATTTTAGTGTGTGTGTGTGTGTGTGTGTGTGTTGCCAGGGATTGAAACTAAGGCCTTGTGGGTGCTAGGTGAGTGCTCTACCACTGAGCTACATTCCCAGCCCTTTACTATTGTCTTATCACATACTTACTGCATTATTTCAAAGATGTTCTTTAAAAAAATTTGCTACCTTCTCCATTACATAAAACTTTCTTATTACTAACACTGAAGACTTTTCTGTCCAGAAGCATCTTTTAGTCTTAAGCACAAACAGATTCATATTTAACACAAACAAGTTCATATCTATGGTCTTCTTTTCAGGAAATTCAGGATATTTTTATTTGACATTCCCTATTCCATAGGGAGATAAAATATCATCAGCATCTAGAAAACTTTTAAAAATAGACTTACCAAGACTATGCTGAATGCTGACTCTTAATACATGAGTGGCCTAGCATTCAAACTTTCCAGACCTCTGTTTTTCTATTTGAATTATGGAGAAAATAATAGCACCAACTTCATTGGACTGTATTGGGGATTAAACGAGATTTTACTGAACATGAAAAGCCCAGCACATGCGCAGTGCCACTAATAGCACTATGAGTGACACAACCTCCAGTGGCCAGCTCAGCAACATGTATCTGCATTGAGTTCCTGAGCAATGGATACAACTTGTCCAGACCATAGAACTGAATTTGGGAATCATTAGAGGGTAATCTTGTAGACAAAAGGAAAAAAAAAAATCCCTGGAGCTATTTTTCATTGCCTTGAAAACCCTGAATTGACTGTATGGCTTCCCATGCTCATGGACCCATGCACCAGCAGTGGGAGGCTACTGGAAATGCAGAATCTCAGACCAACTGATCTGAGCCTGCATTTCAGTAGGAACCTAGGTGATTCTTATGAACACTCAAGTTTCAGAAACACCGCTCCATTACTCAACCCTCTTAGATCTGTGATTCTCTACTTTGAATGTGCTTAGGTATCAGAAGAGGGGTATTTAAAGAATACTACTATCTAGTCCCCACCTCCAGAGGTTCTGATGAGTCAGACTGGAATCTGACTTGAGCATTTGTTTTTGTTTTTGGTGCTGGGGGTGGAATCCAGGGCTTCACACACACTCCACCACTGAGCTACACACCCTCAGCCCCAGTTGTTTTAAAAGATACCCAGGGGATGCTAAGGTACAGCCAGAATGCAAACCATGCTTAATGGTCTGCAGCAGAGTTTCTCTAAGTTTGGACCACAAATGACCACCTGCACCAGAATTTCCTGGAAGCTCGATGAACTTGCACCCACCCCTCCAAATAGGATCCCACACTATTCTAAGCACCACTACCTCCATGTTCAGTGAAAACTCCATGGGATTCTCATGCACACTATCACTTCAGCACTAGTCACCCAGGATCTAAGAAGGAAAAAATGAGCACTTGCTTAAGGCAGGTTTCACTGTACCCTACATTGTTCCTTATTATAACTGTGACTATTTGTTAGACCCCTATGCTTTCTTGATTCAAAGGCACCAAACATTGTAAAATGCACCTTCAAATTGGACATGGAAGAAAGGAGTAAACAATATCATACTAACAGTCATACCTGACCATTACCAGAAATTCCTGGTTTTAGAAGAATTAAAACATGAAGGAAAGAACATCTGAGAATGGAGAAATATGGGATGCCCTCACATGGAATCCTTTTGCTGGTCTAGGAGCTCAGTAAGGGCAGGGGCAACGTCTGTCATATTCATTTTTCCATCCCAGTTCTGTCATTTGCTGAACAGATGACAGAACTGGTTCATTTCTCCAGACCCCAATATATGAAGACTGCCTGTCCCTAATACCTTAGGCAGAGGTCCTGGAGACAGCTAGAGGGGGAAAGGTGAGATCTGGGTGACATAGACCTGAAGCTTATATAAAAACCATGATGCAGTATCTTGCAAGCTCCTTTCCTATCATTACAGATTCTCCACTCAATATTTTTTGTTGTTTTTGTTTTGTGGTACTGAGGATTGAACCTAGGGGCACTGGGCTACATCCTGAGGCCTTTTCATTTTGGAACAAGGTCTTGCTGAGTTGCTGAGGCTGGCCTCAAACTTGTGATCTTTCTGCCTCAACCTCCCACATTGCTGGGATTACAGGTGTGCACCAATGCTCCTGGCTTAATGTTGTTTTAATACTAGGATTCTCTTGGGTGACAGTATAGTCTAAATGAGTGTTTCCTGTGACAAGCATGAGAACTCCAAGGATGTGCTCTCCAGCCCAGAACTTACTCTGAATTGAGAAGTTGTCTTCCTTGAATTCTTCTAGTCTGGCTGGCTGCCACCTGCCACTCTTCCACTGGGGATACCTTTTTATTATGTTCCCATCTGGAGATCATGACAGATAACATCTGCCAGATAAACTACATATACTAAGTCATCACTGCTTCAACTTCACATTTTTTTTATTCATCAAAAGCATTTACAAGCTGGGCATGGTGGCACACACACCTGTAATCCCAATGACTTGGGAGGCCAACG